AATACTAACTGATGGGAACACGTCAGAAAGACATGACAGCCAGCTTGAAAGGGGTACTTGAAGGCTAAATCTGTGACAATTTGATCATCAAAATAAACAATGATGGTTAGTAATGGAGCAAACCCCATTCAATAACATTGACGATAAAATAAATGAAGAAGGGAAAAGATTTTCCTTACAGGAGAATGTCAACTAATAAATATAGATGAAATGGAGTTACAAAAATCATCATTTTGTGACATAATCTTGAAAAAATCATCAATGAATGCTAAAACAAATCTTTGAAAATTTTGATGAGGAATAGGACATTTAAACATTGTCAGTCTCTCCACAAATCACTTCTTAATTATAAGAAAAAATAACTCTATAGTGGAGATATCTGGTGAGTACCACCTTTACCAAGTGATCAATCTTTATATCACCAATAACTGGACAAATTACGTGCTTCCTCATGATGCAAGGAGAAGAACAAAACATGACTTATTTAATATTCGTCCAAAAAATACATAACCTGAATCTAATCCTTAAACCAGAATTTAGAGATCGTCTCCAAAGAAACTGCTTTGTACTCTTCAAAAATGTTAATACAAAAGACAAAGGCTGAGGAACTGCTCCAGATTGTTGTTGTTGGATGACCTCCAACTCAGAAGGGCATTATGAATAACAAAACAAAATGTTGTTCAGTCCTGAACCAGCTTCACAATTGTTACCATATTTAAGCCCAACAGGTTTATCTTTTCTTACTGCTCTTGGAACCCTGGGCCTCCCCGTGAACAAGCCCAGGCTAGCCTGCTGGATGCTGAGACATGTGCCATCCTTTTGCCCCAGCTAATGTTACCGCAATAACGCAGATTGGAGCCGCCTGCTGCAATAGCCGTTCTGAGACGGCGTGAGGTGAGCAGCAAGATGTTTATTATATATCGATATATAGGAGACAGAGGGGAATAGATTCCTCCAAAAAAAACCCATCTCCTCCACTGGAGATCGGCTGAAGTCTTTTATAGCGACAGGATTATGGATCTTTTGTGGTAGTTTCCCCTTGAGGTGATGATGTCTTAGGTGAGTTAACCTTCTACTGGTATTCTTAGAGGTTATCTGGTGACATCCTGCTTTTTCTTGTCACAAGATGGGTGCTTTGTTTGGTTTTTCATTCTTAGATCATTATCACTTGTTTTCCACCCTCCAGGGAGGAACATCGGTTAATCTTGAACCTTTTTGTACAGACTGGAACCGGAGGGAAAAATCACGAGACAATGTGGCGGTTAGCAATGGGGAGTGAATAATAGTGAGCCAGGCCTATGCAGCCTCTTCCACTAACAACCAGTCAACCCCTAGAAACACAGCTATCTAGCTGATGGCTGATTGCAGTTGCATGAGTTAAGACTAGGGGAAAAAAAGTTCAGCGGAGCCCAGCTCAATTTGCCAATCCACAAAATCCTGAGAAAAATAAATGGTTATTTTAAGCCTCTTAAATTTTGGGGTGAGTTTTATGCAACAGACATGACTTCTTTACTTTCTGGCACAAGATGTTACAGGCACTAATATTTCCCCTGTCCCAGCCTTGGAATCAGCCATTTCTCCAACGCCTCGGTTCCTTTCAGTAAATAATGATATTTAGAAACCAAGGTCTGGGGCACTAGATGTATTCATCTACTGGGTTATCATTGCATCTATGCCTTTTTAGAGGACAAAGCTAGGAAATTCACACTCATCTATTTCTACACCTATATTTTTCTATCTACAAGTAGTCCTCAAATTACAACGTATTTGAGTTACAACTAATCGCACCCATCCTTTTTTTTTGTACATCTTAGCATTAGTAATATGTACTACATACAATGTTGTATTACTGCATTATTTGCTGATGCTATCATTCTCAGTTGTTCACTCGCAGATGTTTAATGTTACAATTTATTGTTCAAACCACTGCCGCATAGCAGGCAATAATGAAAACTGAAAAAAAAAAGGTATTCGACTTATGTCAGAACCAATACAACGGGGTCATCAGAAGGGATGACCCCATTATAAGTCTGTATTAAAAATCTGTATTAAAAATTAAATCTGTATTTTAACCTGTATTAAAAATCATGAGTTCATACTGATACATGTAGGTTGCACAAAAACAAGCTGTGGATCAAGTTTGGCCCATGGGCTGTAGCTCACCCACCTCTACTCCTTAAGAACAACTCCTGAGAACCCATTCCCCAAGTTGTTGTATGCTGAAAACCTTGAAACCTGAGTGATGTTAGCGATAAAAATTTTTGTTCACACTTTTGGAGTTTCTTGAAAATCCAGCTTGTCATCTTACTTTGTATGTCACTCATGAGAAGTCCGATGCCAATCTGATATTCTTGCCCTATATGTGTTTTTTTTGGTCCATAGGCACAAAAGGGTAATTTATGTTTTAAGTCTGATGGTTTTGTTTAGGTTTACTTCTGGGTCAATTTTTCCCAGACACACCATGGACATTTTTAATATGCCGCTTCAGGTTTCCATTTGTTTCTACAGTTTTCTTGGATTATAGTTTTAAATATTAGTTCTTTTGCATTATCTTTATATCTTTGTATTTCATTTCAACCTGTTTCTAACCCTTTTAATTTTGAGTTCCAAAACTGAGGTGCCTGACTCGTATCAGAATGATGGGCCCAGGTCTAAGCCCCTGCTCCTGCTTAGCTTTTATTTCCCCTGCAACAGTCAAAACCTTAGACAGACTTAAGTACATAGTAAAGGAATTGGTTTTGTCTGTGGTTAAACTAAAGATATGGAAAGAATGTTCCTAAGCGAGGGTCTTGACACAAGGAATCCCCTTGACATCAGGAATCCCCTCAGCCCCTCTCAGGAAATGTTTTAAGATAACTACCTTGTGACCACCCTATAAAACTACCCTTAGTCATATGTATTTAAACTAACCAATCCAAACAGCCCACTTTCATGTTTCCAAGCAATTGCTGTAATGCCCCCTTTGAGTTGTCCTGCCTCCTGCTTACCTAATCTTGCAACTTCCAATCAGAATGTTGTACTTTGCCTCATAAAAATGCCTCTACTCCACCATTTCAGAGGCTTGGTTTCATTTTGTGAGATCAGATGTGTCCCCAGATCGAACTGTCCTCAACCTTCAATAAATCTCTTTTTTTAACAGAGTACACATTCTTACTGGTCGACATAATTCTTTCATTTTCATTCTCGATTGCTTTTCTCCCTTACTTCAAGGCCCATTAATTTTTCATCTCAATCTATTCTTCTGTGGTATTTTGTAATTTTTCATTTTTTAGCTAGTTTTGTCTTTCCCCATTTCAATAAACTATTTTCTTACCTCCCTCTTTTCCCTCTTTTTCCCCTTGATTTTTAAATTTGAATCAAGATTTTTTTTTTTTAAATTATCCCCAAATACTTGCTTGAGGATATTTAATTAAGCTTGGTGCGTATTGCTTGTTTGTGCTGGGAGGGATGGGGTGGATGTTTATCAGCTGAAATATTTTGGTTCAAATTTTTTCTTCTTATAGTAGCTTTGTATTGATAAGGACTGTTTTTATCTATTCATTTAGTAGACATGGTTGGGGTTCTGGGTGGCTTTCAAGATTCCATGATCAAGAGTACCCTCTCCTGTCAGTGTAGTATAGTACAATTTCTTCAAAGAATGAAAGGCTTTTTGGGTTCTTTTTTAGTTGAGGGGAAGTTGGTGGTTCCTTCAATATTGTGGTTCGGTCTTGCTGAAGCCTAAATTTTCCCTTCTTGTTTTTTTCCTCTGTCACCCGAAGGGAAACTTTTCCTATTAAATCTTTTCTCCCCAAGATGAGACGTCTTTTGGAAACTGGCACCTTAGATCTTACTTCCTCTTAAATGCCTTGCCTATCATCAGTGTTCTGATCTACCAGACAGCAACCCTCTAGGACCGAGCAGAACTGCTCCATAGGGTTTCCAAGGAGCAGCTGGTGGATTTGAACTGCCGACCTTTTTGGTTCACAGCCATAGCACGCCACGGCTCTTAACCACTGCACCACAAGGGCCCCTTTTTACATTTAGGGTAGCCCTTCTCTTTTTCTAGAGTGATTTCAGTTCACCCTTATGCCCTCTGTTCTCTTTCCCCATTCACATCCCAAACCCTTGTCGCCCCTACCCCTACTCTTCACAAATGCTTGCAGCAGAAGCTTGAGATAGCTTACTGGAATTTAGCATTACGTAACCCACTTACAGATAAGTTGAAGTTAGCAGTATTCTCTGTCTAGTTATGCTAAAAGCAGTATGTGCGGTTTAATTTACTCTTCTTGTTAATTTATATACTTTTTTGGAGAACGTATAGGAAGATTTAGATTTAGGCAGCCACCATTATCCTTGCTTCAGATTAGATTATTTCCCCTAACTATATTTCTTGTCTCAAAAGCCTGTCAAACGTAAAGCTCTGCCTCTCAGTTGCTTCTTCCTAAATTGGCATGTCAAACGTAAAGCTCTGCCTCTCAGTTGCTTCTTCCTAAATTGGCAAACACCCCCAGGGCAAAATGGTCCTAAATGCTAGCTTCACCTCTCTGGACTTTCTTCTCCTGCATTCTGGTCCACTAATAACTGACTATATTGCTAACATTTTGTTTCACAGGGAGATATCTCCTTATATTTTGCTCAGACATTTTAGTTTTCTTCAGCTGGAAGGCTAGATTATCTAGTCTAGCATTACCAGAATCAGCTCTAGAATGCATTTACTCATAATAGGTTCAAAAAACACTGATCTTCCTTACTACCAGGATGTAAATAGACTACCCAAATTTGTAAACAGGGATCAGACATGACACATTTAAAAACAAAACTAATTTGCTCATGTATAACAAGGCTATCATAGTCTGTAAGAACAAGAACTGTACTTCACTTTTGGAAACAATGACAACAAAACTTACCGAGGAAATTGGTCTGATACTAGCTATAATAATATGGTTGGCATACATTTCAAATAAAGAATATGGTTAAGTCTTGAGGAAACAAAGTTTAAAAAAAGGCATCTAATAAGTCTATACAGTGAATATCATGTCTTTATTCTATTTACAGTACATTTGTTATAAATATAATACATTTGTGAAAAGCTTATTTTTAATTACCTTGAGTAGATTTATATTTTAAACAGATCAACTCAATTGTTAAAGTTACATAATAAAGAATATGATAGTTTAAATGACAAAAAAATCTCATGTTGTGAAATAGTGCACTCTATACTGAGATGAATGAGGGAAAAAAGTCAAACTCCTTTCAGAAGTATACTCAAAGCATAAGAAAAAACTTTTATTTTTCTTTTTACAAAGTTATATATAAGCCATAGGGACCACCAGATACTGAAATATGAAGACTCTATAACCAAAGTTCAAAACTGATTTTAGAGAATTATGTGAAGCAAGACAGGAAAATTTGTATTTAACACTCTACAGAACTTCACAGTAAAGCTGGAATTTATAGACTGGCTTAAAAAGAGTATTGCCAACAAGGTCTTTCCTTCCTCAAAATCATCTCCTAATATTCATATACCATCAATAACCTGTAACAGCAGACTTAGACATTTTTAAGATGTGGCCTAATAAGGTGCACAGATACGCTGAAATTCTGTATTATGAGCGTGTGAATTAGTACCAGGGTTTAAAGAAGAATATAAGTATTCTCAGTCCAACGTGCTTTGCATCACCAAAAAATTGACAAGTATTTTGAGTAACCTGACAACAACCTCCATAACAAGTTAGGTATTTCAAATACTGCTGTAAACCCATTCCACAAAATAAAACTGAGTCTTATGTTTTCAGTACAAATTTTTAAGTCGTCACACATTACTGATGATGATCAGGGCAGGCATGGAGTTCTGCTGACTTGTTTCAAACACCGTAACTTGGTCCGATAACTTAGCAAATACCCTAGGAGTTCCAAGGTTATAAACACCTGTGTGAACAAAGCATGCTTTCAGCTGCAAACTGCGAATCTCCTGGCTTTTAAGCTGAAGTTTATATTGTGTTTGTCCAAGCCATGTGAATGATCCATGGATTTCCAATGCTTCTGGACTAAGGGAGAAGGCAAATGGTAAGTTGTAGAGTTTTTTTTCCTTTGTAATATTCCCAAAGTCTTATTATCATATTCCTTTAATCTAGCAATTCTATTTCTAGAAATTATTTTATAAAACCAACTATTTCTTAATAATCAAAATAATGACAATACTTATTACTGTTACTATAATAGCTAACATTTATTAACAAATACCATTTTCTAGGTACAATGCTAAGAGTGGATTATCTCATTCAATGCTTACAACAGCTAGTAAATGATAGAACTGACTTCAAACCTGAGTTTTTAACCACTCAGTCATATACACATAAAAATGTGTATACAAGAATGCTTATATTATCTGTGTTGTTTAGAATATTAAAAAACAGAAAATAATCCAGTGCCCACCAAAAAGACATTAGTAAACTAATTTATGGTACACATAATCGTACACACCATGTGTTGGATTTCTGGGAGCTGCCCCATCCATATTCTGTCTGTGGCGTTATACAATATTCAGTATATACTTCACATTACTTTTGTAAAATACAAAAAAAATTCTGAATTGCAAAAAAGCATCTGGCTCTAAAAGTATCAGACATAGGAATGTGGACCTGGACTTTTTTAAAGCATTATTTTGTAACCACACACACACACACACACAAAACCTTTAATAAGCTACTAGCACAAACTTGCTGATTTTCAATTAGTGTTCTTTATTACCAACAAACTTTCATAAAGTATTCTGTTTCTGGCAAAAATCATTTGCTGCTCTTGAAAATTGCTTTCCATTCTGTCACTACTATGTTTGGACAATCCTCTTATGGTCTTATGTAACACCAAACAAAAAATCAGAGCGAGACCAAGCAAACTTTCTCTATCCATTGTAGGTAATTTATTTGCATAATTTCAAAGTATTAAATTCTCTCAAATCATTTTAAACCTTAAACTAAAAAATAATTTTGCACTAAATAAACCTTTACCTTGTTGTTTTATGCCGAAGATCAACTATTACATCCACATCAGTTTTAGAACAATTGGAAAGTAAAAGGGTGACTGGTACTAAACAAAGGCTATGGAAGAAGAAAAAAAAAGGTTGGCTATATATTTTTTTCTTAAAGACAGAACTTTCTTGACAATAACATGTAAGAATACCTAACAGAGCATAAGCTTCTTAAAAACAATTAGATTCAAGTAAGGAAAAAAACTGAATTCCAAAATCACTGAAGACAAATTATTTGTGTAAATATAAAGTAAAACATATTAAATACAATGCCTGAATACTAAATATCAGAATACACACACACACAATCTATTTATTTCCATTTATAACAGTTAATCTTTCAATATAACAAGTTGTTTGAGGTAGTTATTTACCCAAACGAAGAACAAAATTAAATCATTTCAACTAAGAAAGATAAAAAAATAAATAAATCACTAAAATGCAAACAATCTTGTCCTCTTTATGTTTACTGAAAATTACCTTATTTTCAGAACTCGGTCTAGACATTTGCTTTTCTACCAAATTTGCATAAAGCCATGATGTTCTGGAGACTATGAGAATTATTTCTATTTAAGTTATGAGGAAAGCACTTTCAAGTAGACACATTTGTTCAGGTAACCTAGTTTTTTATATCACTATATAATTAATAAATTACTGAAGCATAGGAGAAAGGAAAGACACTGCTAACAGAGGACGCGTGAAAAGACTGGTATAGATTTCAAATCAGGAACATAATAAATGAACATAACCTATGCACAAGTGAAGCCTGGTTACATACTATTGTTTATATTTTACTCAATAAACACAAAGAATAAAGATATTAGTAAAGAAAAAAACCTTATAAGCTCACACAAAAGAACTATTTAAAAATCTGCTCAGATAATACGTTATGCTTTAAAAAAATTTTACACTAACTGAGTAAAAGGAGAAATGTGAGCATCTGCATGTCTCCTGATCCAAAACTAAACTCATTATCTTCATTTCTCCTCTTCCCCCATTCACTATGTCAGGGAAGAGCCCCCCGACCTACGCCAGCCAAACCTTAGGCATCACACTGACTCTGCTGATGTCACTAGCCCCATTTCCAACTTTCTATTGTTATTCACACACTCCTGTAATTTCTCTCTCCTACACATCTCTGGAATCTGACTACTTCATCTTCATTTTCCTTATACATCTGAGTCCTCATGTCTCTGGTTTACAGCAAGTCTCTTAATTAGCGCCCTTCTGCAATCTATTCTTTACGCTCCTGTCTCTCAAGCTTGAAGGTACATCAGAATCACCTGGAGGGCTTGGTAATCCTTTCATGTCTGGCGGTACATATAGGGGCCATGAATTTTTTCAGCCTCTGGGGTTTATTGAGAAGCCGCTGTATCACTGACAGCCGCGTGCTTCCTCAAGACAGGCGCCTTTATGACTGCTTGAAACCAAAGAAACAGGCATGTGCTGCAAATTACTATTTTCACAGGGTACTGTATGAGATGTCTGCATTTTTGGTAGGAAAAAAAGAAATTTTGAAAATATTTGTTACACATACGTAGAGAGAGACCCTGGTGGGGACTCTAGGGCATAATTAGTGATACTTCGTATGTACCACTGAACACTTAGGGTAGGTTTATGGGATGGCACAAGGAAAAAAACATACTACCTACCAAAAATTCAGACATACTTAATGATTCAGAATGCTTCCATTAATGAAAACACATAGTATCAACAAAAAACTTCAAAGCAAAAAATAACTGGGTCACCAGAGGGTTAAAACAGACTGTTGGGCCCCCCTCGGGAGTTTCTGATTCAGTAGCTATGGAGTAAAAACAACAACAACAAAAAAAAAAAAACCAAACCTGTTGCCATCGAGTCGATTCCGACTCACAGTGACCCTATAGGAGAGAGGAACTGCCCACAGGGTTTCCAAGGAGCGGGTGGTAGATTCGAACTGCCGACATTTTGGTTAGCAGCTGAGCTCTTAACCAGTGCACCACGGTGTAGAGTAGGGTTCAAGAATTTGCATTTCTAGTAAGTTCCCAAATGATGGGGATGCTGCTGGTCTGGGACCACATTCTGAAAACTACTGCTTTACACAACGTTGTTATTACTGTTAGGTGCTATCGAGTCAGTTCTGACTCATAGTGACCCTGTGTACAACAGAAGGAAATACTGCCCGGTCCTGCACCATCCTCAAAATCATTGTTATGCTTGAGCCCACTGTTGCAGCCAACTGTGTCAATCCATCTCGTTGAGGTCTTCCTCTTTTTCAGTGACGCTCTACTTTACCAAGCAGCTTTACACAATAGTCTTTCTAAAACGCTACCTACGAAGTCACACACAGTACCTAAGTGAGACCAAAGTGCTGACAACTATTCACCTATCCTCACCTCCAACTATTTGGCATTGTTTTCATTCTACGATGCTTCATTTTAACCCACTGCTCCACTTCGGTTCTATCAAATCTTTAGTTCTATCGAATCTGTCCTGCTTTACATACTTCCCTGAACTGCCTAGACTCCATGCTGTTTTTAAGCTCCAACAGAATCAAGTGGAGAACTCTTGAATATTCCAGCATCAATGTACAATCAAGGTTGAGAACCACTGAGGTTAAAAAGAGGACCATGAAATCTAAGCTATTCAAGACAGGTTTGGTAAATAGGGACAAAGTAGAACAGTGGGTTAAAATGAAACATCATGGAATAAAAACTTGCACGGATGTATGTGAAGACAAATAGGTTCAATGGGGATAAAGTATAAAAGTTTTCTTCTCAACTCTGGTTGCACGTTAGAGAGGGCTTGGAGAGCTTTAGAAAATCTGATGCCCAGCCCCCACCACAGGCCAATCAAATCAGAATCTCTGGGGGTAGGACAAAAGCATGTGTATTTCTTAAATTTTCCCATGTGATCCAAGTATGCATCAGAACAGTCAAAGGCACACAGAATCCGTACTTGGCAACATTAAGAGCCTGACGAAGATGTAAGACCAAAAATATTTAAATAGTAACTTACATAGCTAAATGTTTGAAAATCTAACAATTGGAAGTGGTAGTGAAGGTAAGAGCAGAAGAAACTCTCATATAATGTTGGTGGTTGTTCTTATTAGGTGCCATCGAGTCGGTTCTGACTCATACTGACCCTGTGTATAACAGAACAAAACACTGCCCAGTCCTGCGCCACCCTCACAATTGTTGCTATGTGTTATAGATTGAACTGTGTCCCCCCAAAAGGTGCGCCAACTTGGTTAGGCCATAATTCCTAGTATTGCGTGACTGTCCACCATTCTCTCATGTGATGTAATTTTCCTATGTGTTGTAAATCCCACCTCTATGATGTTAGTGAGATAGCATTAGAGGCAGTTATGTTAATAAGGCAGGACTCAATCTACTAAATAAGGTTGTGTCTTAAGTCAACTCTTTTGAGATACAAAAGAGAGAAGCGAGCAGAGAGGAATGGAACCTCTTCATACCATCAAGAAAGTAATGCCAACAGAAGAGCGCATCCTTTGGACCCAGGGTCCCCATGCCAAGAACCTCCCAGTCCAGGGGAACACTGATGACAAGGACCTTCATCCAGAGCCGACAGACACAGAAAGCCTTCCCCTGGAGCTGACACAGTGAATTTAGACTTCTGGCCTATGGGACTGTGATGTGGAGAATAAACTTGTTTGGTGAAGCCATCCACTTCTGGTATTTCTGTTATAACGGCACTAGAAAACTAAGACACTATGTTTGAGCTCATTGTTGCAGCCACTGTGTCAATCCATCTTGTTGAGGGTTTTCCTCTTTTCGCTGACCCTCTACTTTACAAAGCACAATGTCCTTCTCCAGAGACTGGTCCCTCCTGATAACCTGTCCAAAGTACGTGAGACAAAGTCTCGCCATCCTTCCTTCTAAGAAGCATTCTGGCTATACTTTTTCCAAGACAGATTTGTTTGTTCTTCTGGCATCTCATGGTGTATTCGATATTCTTCACCAATACCATAATTCGAAAAAGATGGAACAACCTAGATGCCCATCAACAGATGAATGGATAAACAAACTATGGTACATACACACAATGGAGTATTATGCAACGATAAAGAACAATGATGAATATGGAGAGCATTATGCTGAGTGAAATAAGTCCATCACAAAAGGACAAATATTGTATGAGACCACTACTATAAAAACTCATGAAAAGGCTTACATACAAAAAAGAAACAATCTTTGATGGTTGGGAAGGAGGAGAAGTGTGGGGATGGAAAAACACTACTTTGGTGAAGGGAAGAGAGTGTACAGTAGTGGGGAAGCCAGCACATCTTGTCCCAGGCAAGGTCATGGAAGCTCCGCAGATGCATCCAAGCTCCCTGAGGGACTGAATTACTGGGCTGAGGGTTGTGGGGACCATGGTCCCAGGGAACATTTAGCTCAACTGGTATACCATAGTTTATAAAGAAAATGTTCTACATCCTGCTTTGATGAGTAGCATCTGGGGTCTTAAAAGCTTGTGAGCAGCCATCTAAGATACTCTACTGGTCTCACCCCGTCAGGAGCAAGGGAGAAAACCAAAGACAAAAGGGAAAGATTAGTCTAAAGGACTAATGGACCACAACTACCACAGCCTCCACCAGACAGTCCAGCACAACTAGATGGTGCCTGGGTACCACCAATGACTGCTCTGACAGGGATCACAATAAAGGGTCCCAGGCAGAGCTGGAGAAAAATGTAGAAAATTCTAACTCACACAAAGAAACCAGACTTACTGGCCTGACAGAGACCAGAGAAACTCCAAGAGTATGGCCCCCGGACACCCTTTTAGCTCACTAATGAAGTCACTCCTGAGATTCACCCTTCAGCCCAAGATTAGACAGGCCCATAAAACAAAACGAGACCAAAGGGGCACACCAGCCCAAAGGCAAGGACTAGAAGGCAGGAGGGGACAGGAAAGCTGCTAATAGGGAATCCAAGGAGAAGGGAGAGTGTTGACATGTCATGCGGTTGGTAACCAATGTTATAAAACAATGTGTAATACTTGTTTAATGAGAAGCTAGTTTGTTCTGTAAACCTTCATCTAAAGCACAACAATAAAAGAAAGAAAGAATAAACAGACTGGGAGAGGGTAGCACACCAAGTCAAAACCAGAAGCAGCTGCCTGTGCTACAAAATGGGTAGAGTACCATGAAATTCTGAGGTTAAGAGCCACAAAATCCCATCTTAGTAGGATGACATTCTGGCCTTTTGAGTTTTCTATGGTAAAAGTAGTTCTCGGATTTGGTTAGGTCTTCTGAAGAGGGCCTTGGAGGTCCTCCAGGCAGCACGGCTCTTAAATACTAACATTTAGGAATGAGGGAATAGATACGTGGAAAGAAACAAGTCATATACCAATATTTTCTCAGTGTCTGACCCTGTCCAAGGAATACCATCAGGAAAGGGGGAGGGTGTGGCCATTAGAGTCAGGAATCCAGCATCATTCATTTTCTTAGTAGACTATCAAATAAAAATGCTAATTACAAAGACATACTGTGAGAACATTAACAATAAGAAAAATATGTAAGAGGTAACTGAATGAAAAAAATGCCTGGTGAGTGGCTGTTACATAGCAGTTAAATTTGAATATAAAAATCTACTTCCCATTTCAATACCAAGACCCACTGGAAGTTAATAAACTGAAAAACTGTTGAAGTCCAAACTGGGTGGGTATAGTTCATATTTCCACCAGCAAGAGTAGAGAGATCTTGTAATACATAGATCTTAGGGTAGAGTTCTCAGAAAGTTATTGCCTTCATATTTGAGCTAAATGAAAAAAAATAATAATAATAATACCATAATTCAAACGCATCCATTCTTCTTCGGTCTTCCTTATTCATTGTCCAGCTTTCGCGTGCATATGAGGCGACTGAAAAGACCATGGCTTGGGTCAGGTGTACCTTAGTTCTCAAAGTGACATCTTGGCTTTTTAACAGAAGATTGGTCCAATACTTTGATTTCTTGACTATTGCTTCCATGAGTGTTGACTGTGGATCCAAAGAAAATGAAATCCTTGAGAACTTCAATCTTTTCTCCATTTATCATGATGTTGCTTACTGGTCCAGTTGTGAGGATTTTTGTTTTCTTTATGTTGAGGTGTAATCCATACTAAAGGCTGTGGTCTTTGATCTTCATCAGTAAGTGCTTCAAGTGTTCTTCATTTCCAGCAAGCAAGACTGTGTCAACTGCATATTGCAGATTAATGAGTCTTCCTCCAATACTGATGCTGCGTTCTTCTTCATACAGTCCAGCTTCTTGGATTATTTGCTCAGGATACAGACTGAGTAAGCATGGTGAAAGGATACAACCCTGACACTCACCCTTTCTGATTTTAAACCACGAAGTATTCCCTTGTTCTGTCTGAACAACTGCCTCTTGATCTATGTGCAGTTTCACATGAGCACAATTAAGAGTTCTGGAATTCCGATTCTTTGCAACGTTGTCCATAAATTTGTTATGATCCACACAGTCGAATGCCTTTGCACAGTCAATGCAACACAGGTAAACATCTTTCTGGTATTCTCTGCTTTCAGCCAAGATCCATCTGACGTTAGCAATGATACCCCTCGTTCCACATCCTCTTCTGAGTCCAGCTTGGATTTCTGGCAGTTCCTTGCCAATGTACTGCTGCAACCGTTTTTCAATTATCTTTACCAAAATTTTACTTGCATGTGATATTAATGATGTCGTTCAGTAATTTCCACATCCTGTTGGATCACTTTTCTTTGCAATGAGCACATACATGGATCTCTTTGTCGGCTGGCCAGTCAGCTGTCTTCCAAATTTCTTAGCATAGACGAATGAGCACTTCCAGCATTGCATCTCATACTGTTGGTGGGATGTGCAAATCGGTAAAACCACTTTGCTTATTTACCTCTAGGTAAATAAGCAAAAAAAAAAAAAAAGGCAGGCACACATGCACCAGGGGGTACATACAAGAATATTCACAGCAGCAGAATTCAAACAGTTCAAAACTGAAAGTAATTCAATGGATAAAATAATTCTAGTATTTTCATATGTATTCATATGGCAATGAAAATTAATTCTACAGTTTCATGCAATGGAAAACTCTTAATACTGAATGAAAGCTGTACAGAAGAATATACTCTATATAATTCCACTTATGTAATAAAGCTCAAAAAATATAAAAAATACAGAGTTTAGACAGACATATGTAATTGGAAAAATTAGGGTAGTGAGGAGGGAGTACAAAGGGGCTTCTGAGATACTAGCAATATGCTATTCCTTGAACAGAGGTAATTATTTGGTAATTATTTAGCTTTGTGAAAAATCGTGGCCATACATTTTTGTTTTTAAGCACTTCTGAGTGTGTTATGTTTCACAATGAAAAGAGTTTAAAAATGGTTAACACCATTTATGTTACTTTTAAAATATTATCTTAAGTCTCTGTTGAAGTCTTAATTTTGCCTAGCACTTTGTGTGTCCTTGTTCAGCTTCTTCTCATCCTCTCAGTAGTTATCCTAAAACTTCACTTTTTTTTCATCTCATAGATTACTTTTAGTAGTTGACCATGCTCCTACACAACCTCTCAAATACGGAGACTCTTCATGATCTGTAAATTTCTTAAAAACTTCTCCCTACTTTCTTCTTTCCCGGTTTCAGTAGTAAGGGGTCCCTTTTTCAGTCCAAAGCTAATCCTATATTTTGTTCTTTGTTGTGTATCCTCTCCTCAATCTGCCATATCATGCTTTCACCTTCACTAGAGACTGACATTCTTCTGTAAAACCATGAATGACCTTCTTATTGTCAGAGCCAATGAACAACTTTTCTGTCCATTTAATACTTGACCTTTCTGCAGCCTCTTAAACTGTTAAGTACTTCTCTCTCCTTGAACTGGTCTCACTCAACCTTTAAGATACCACTTTCCATTTATTGGTCGTTTCTTCCTAATTTTTTCACTGCTCCTTCTGAATCAGTCTTCTTCATGGGCTCCTTTTTCCTTAGCTCATCTCTCAGATGTCATCGTTCTGCAGGTTGTTCTATCCTACCCCATCCCCAGACCTACCTAGGGTGATTTTACAAAAATTCATACCTGCCATTATCACTTATAGCTTGGCAATTCCCAGATTTACAGCTCTAAGAGGTTTCTCTCCATCTCATTTCTGCAAACCTGAAATCTTCTGAACCCTCACCTGATTTAGGACTTTTTATTTTCAGAACTTTATATATTTAAGCTATTTACCAAGATACCATTTTCTGCAGTTTTCTTAGCACTTAATAAGTCTTAAGTAAATGATGTTGTTTAAATTTGAACTGTTGAATAAATTGATATTGCAGCCATGTCTTAGGTTCAATTTGTGTCTAAAACAAAAATGATACACTTTCCTCCGTTTGTGGCTTAACAGTAAACCTGCTCCTCAAAGGGTAAGAAACTTCAGGCAACTCAGTGGTAGCTGAGACAATATCTTTAATCACAGCTGCAACATATAGTAACTGTAGCAGAGGTAAATTACTTAAAAGCAATTCCTACAGACTCAATTTTATTCTAAATTTCTTCTTCAATATTTGGGTTAATGCCATTGCAAAATTAAATAAATGTATGTAGTGTCGTAGAAAATTTTTATAAATAAATCTCAAACCTTTTTAGATGAAATGGATGATTAAATGATTCTGGATAGTGAAGACTCGTTTTAATGAGACTAGACAGCTGCTCTACTGATGGTCTTGAGGAAACTGTAGTGTTTTCTGGCCTGACAAATTTTAACAGTTCCATTTCTGGCGGTTCCTGAGAAAAGAAAAGAAAAGAAAAGAAAAAAAAAATCATGACAATAAAATCACTGCCTTGTTAAAAAAAAAAAGTATAGCATGTACGAACAAAAGACGTTAAAACCAGTAGAGACAAATATAAATCATGAAAAGTGCTTTTTATGCTGTGATTTAAAATAACAGCTGATATCATTTGCAATGTAATGTTGGATGAAGAAATCAACATCTGGAATCATTCATTCCTCATTTATTATGTGCTACAGTTAGACTTCAATTCCAGAAACTTCATGTATTAGACCTGTTAAAGTAGATAAGTTATTTCATAGTTTAAAGACTTAATTTCTTCATATGTAAAAACGGGGTTGTATTTTCAAAAGGTTGTGAAGTTCTCATCTGCTAAAATTGTTTAGGACTTAAGGTGCAGATGGTTCAATTGTATAAAATCTGTTTTAATAGTGAAGATTTAAAATTTCATTTTAAAAACAGATTTCTGTATTTTATAGATTATAGTGTTTTGACTATACTAGTTGAAGGTTAACATGTACACAAAAGTCTTAATACAGTCAGTGTCAGGCATGTTGTAAACATTTCAAAAAATATTATCATCATCGAAATGGAAATAGAGAATAATGTCCCATTTCTACTATCATTATTTAATTTCTTATTTTCCTTCCATTCTCCTTCACCATCCAGGAGAATTTTGATTTTTAATTTCCTGCTATAATTTTGATCAAGCCCAAAGATTCACAAGCTACAGCCCATGGGCCAAATCCAGACTGACCTCTGTTTTTGTAAATAAAGTTTTACTGAAACACAGCCAGATCCATCTGTTTACATACCATCTGTAACTGCTTTCAAACCCAACGGCAAAGTTGAGTAATTGTGGCAGAGACCATCTAACCCACAAAACCTAAAGTATTTACTATCTGACTTCTAGTAAAATTTGCTGACCCTTGATTTATACAACTGCAAAAGCAAGAACTAAAGTTGCCAGAATTAAGTAATAACTGTGCTATTGGTGCCAATGGTGAGAGTCCAGATTCATTCCACTGACAAAGTAACAAACTAACCATAATATATATGAGTAGCATCCTACTGGTGTTGGTACAACAAAGACAAATGAAACACAAATGAAAAGAGTTTATAACCTAATAAATGGTAATAGGTAAGTATATAATGATACGGGCCAGCAATTTAATTTCTAGAAATCTACCCTACGAAATACGTAAAAAGAAAAGCATTTGAGGAGGCAGGACCAAGATGGCGGAGTAGTGAGACACTTCCAGTGGACCTTCTTACAACAAAGACCCGAAAAAACTGATTTGATTATTTATGGCAATCTGGGGGCCTGAACATAAAAGGCAGAGTTGAGGAACTGAACTGAGTGGCAGGGGGAGAGAGAGACAGTTCAAAAGCAGCGAGGAGTTGCCAGACCTGACCCAGCAAGAGCCTGAGCCCTTCAGGCCTGATCAATTCGGGGGTGAGCGGTGAGGCAGGTAAGCAGTGGTCCCTGGGAGGCGCGTTTTCTGCACCAGGAGAGACCCAGCACCAGACAGTCTAAACGGCCACCCAAAACCAGTGAGAAGCAGCCCCCATCAGCAAAAGATAAGTACTTGCCTACAGCCTACTGCGCTTTGGAAAAAACCTCTCTCCCATTTACCTCCCCACTCCCTGCTCTGCACTGGGTGCCAGACTGCCTTCAGCAATTGCCGAGTCCCCTGGGCCAGAAGTAGGATCCATCACATGCACAGAGCCATTCTCCCTGCCTCAGAGAGTGAACAAATTAACAAATGGGAAAAAATAAACTGCCGGCTCCCCTAAGCCAGGAGGCCAGGGCAGACACAGCTCCTTTGCCTAGGCACAGGCATATGGGATCCACCTGCAAAGACTTGTGTGCGCCCATCTCAACAGCTTTATACAGGGTATATACCGGAACTCTAACTGCAACTGTTTCAGCTGTGAAGTGCCAGGTTCTTGACATTTGATACCGCTCTGCCCATTAAACAGGGTCCTCACCTACCCACATCAGGGGCCTGAGGACTGGTGGCTCCACCCACGCCACCTAGCCACCTGCGATAGGGGCCCAAGAATAAGAGGTGCCCCCCAATCTTTACAGTCAACAGCATTAGCAACTCATAGTCCAGCTGCAAAACCCACCCATCTATGCGCTGTAGGGAACAGGGACATACCTTCCTCCTAGACACTTGGGGGCAGCCGTCAGCCCCCTGCCTTGCTCAGAGTGTGTACCCCTGCTGCAGTCAGATGCCTGTGCCAACACCAATCACCCATGCCTGTCTAGGACTGTAAGTGAGAGCCTATACCACACACCTGGTACCACATCTACCTGGGCACCTGAGCTGAATCCATATAGGAAGAGTGGGTGGACTCCTGAGCTCACACACCCACTAACAGATCTAACCACCTGGTGACAGGACGTTAGAGCTTCAAAGGTGTCAATAATCAAAGTAGCTCATAGGAACAGCCTATTTGAGCATATTAAAACAAAACAGGAAGCTAGGACACAGTAAGCAAACAGAAAATAAATAAATATAATAACTTATTGATGCCTCGGAGACAATAGTCAATATCAAATCACATAAATAGGCAATCCATGATGGCTTCAGCAAGCTCCCAAAATAAAGAATCTAGAAATTTTCCAGAGGAGGAAAATTTCTTGGAATTACCGGAGGCAGAATACAAAAGATTAATTAATATACAGAACTCTTCAAGAAATTAGGAAGGAAATTAAGCAAAAGGCAGAACACGCAACAAAGGAAATTAAAAGGATTAGAGAAGAGCATAATGACATATTTAACAGGCTGCAAGAATCCCTAGAGAGACAGCAATCAGGGAACCCAAGGTTGAGTAAGGAGATTGTTGATGTGTTGTGAGATTGTTAACCATTGTCATAGGGCAACATTTGAGGTAACTGTTAAATGAGAAACTATTTTCTTCTGTAAGCCTTCATCTTAAGTGAGAATAACAGCACAATTGAAAGAGCGTAGTCAATGTCACTGAACTGTGTATGTAGAAATTTTTGAAACGGTGTATCTTTGGCTATGTGTATTTTCACCAAAAAAAAAAAAAGGTTGAGAATTTAGAGGGTTAATATGTTGTGGGGTGGTTAACCAATGTCATAAAACAACATGTGTACTACTGTTTCATGAGAAACTATTTGTTCTGTAAGCCTTCACATAAAGTACAATAAAATATTAAAAAAATTAAAAAAAAAAGAAATCCAGAAAATGAACAATAAAATCAATTAATAATGAAATTTCAGAATTAGAAACTCAATAGAAAGTCATAGGAGCAGAACTGAGGCAATGGAAGTCAGAATAATGAGACTGAAGACAAGGCACTTGACACCAACTTATTTGAGGAAAAATCAGATAAAAGGATTTAAAAAAAAATGAAGAAACCCTAAAAATTATGTGCGACTCTATCAAGAGGAATAACCTATGAGTGATTGGAGTACCAGAACAGGGGGGGATAACAGAAAATACAGAGAGAATTGTTGAAGATTTGTTGGCAGAAAACTTCCTTGATATCGTGAAAGATGACAAATATCTATACAAGATGCTCATCGCACTCCACATAAGCTAGATCCCAAAAGAAAGTCACCAAGGCATATTAGAATCAAACCTGCCAAAACCAAAGATAAAGAGAGAATTTTAAGAGCAGAAAGGGAGAAACAAAAAGTCATCTACAAAGGAGAGTCAAGAAGAATAAGCTTGGACTACTCAGCAGAAACCATGCAGGCAAGAAGGCAACGGGATGACATACATACAGCCTTGAAGGAAAAAAACTGCCAGCCACGAATTATATATCCAGCAAAACTCTCTCTCAAATATGATGATGAAATTAGAGCATTGCCAGACAAACAGAAATCTAGGGAATTTGCAGAAACCAAACCAAAATTACAAGAAATACTAAAGGGAGTCCTCTGGTTAGAAAATCAGTAACATCAGATAACAACCCAAGACTAGACCACAGGACAGAGCAACCAGGTATCAACCCAGACAAGGAAGACACAAAAGTAAATCAAACCTAAAACACTGAAAATAGGTAAACAGATGTCAATATGTAAAAGATGACAACATTAAAAAAAGAAAAAAATGGACTTAAAAAAATAGACATAGTTTTTCATTTGGGGAGGAAGTCAAGGTGATAAATAAAAATAACAACACTGGTATAACCTTAGAAAAATAGGGGTAAATATTATGGTAACCACAAAGGAAACTAACAATCCTACAAGTCAAACTAAAAAACTAGAAAAATAAAGACTCACCAAACACAAAATCAACAACAATGAAAAAGATGAAAAGAAAATACATTAAAAAAAGACTCAGAACAAAAAACTAAGTGAAACAAAGAAACTGTGAACACCACACAAAAAAAGACATCAAAATGACAGCATTAAAGTCATATCCATCAATAATTACACTGAATGTAAAGGAAAAAACGCACCAATCAAGAGACAGAGTGGTAGATTGGATTAAAAAACACAATCCGTCTATATGCTGCCTACAAGAAACACACCTTAAAGACTTAAAGACACAAACTAAAATTCGAAGGATGAAAAAAAAATATCAAGCAAACAACACTTAAAAAACAGGAGTGGCAATATTAATCTCTGACAAAATAGACTTTAAAGTAAAATCCACACACAGGATAAGAAAGGACACTATATAATGATTAAAGGGTCAATACACCAGGAGGACATAACTATAATAAATATTTATGCACCCAACGACAGGGCTCCAAAATATATAAAACAAACTAACAGCACTGAAGAGAAAGATAGATAGCTCCACAATAGTAGTAGGAGATTTCAACACACCACTTTCGGTGAAGGACAGAACATCCAGAAAGAAGCTCAACAAAGATACAGAAGATCTAAATGCTACAATCAACCAACATGATCTCATAGACATATACCGAACACTCCACCCAACAGCAGCCAAGTCTACTTTCTTTTCCAACGCACATGAAACATTCTCAATAATAGACCACATTATT